ATGCATGGTTCTCACGTACGGACACGTAAAAGTTTTGACAGGAAAATTGTTAGCTTGAGAACCAGAACAGTTTACTCATTTTCAGTGAGCAGCTAGTCAGTGGGAGTCTGTTGTTTTTCTTCATGCAAAATTTACGGTGATTTACGCTAGTGAATGCAAAAGTTAAATGTAAAGCACGATCATCCATGTATTTATGAGCCTGATTGCTTCAAGTTTAGTGCGAAAACGCATAATCCTATTAGCAAGCTGGCGCGTTGCAGCCTAAATTATAATATGGTGTACTGATTTCGGTAGTTATTGTGCTATTCATCATTAGAAGCTTACGACTAGAAATGAAGCCTGGACATACAATTCATCTGCAGTAAGCTTTGATTAGTACACAGTGGGCTGACTGGCGTAGTACAGTGGGAGGTAGCGTTGCTTTCGTTGGATATTCGGCCTTGCCTTTGATACAAGCAGTCCCTCTAGGGTTCGTTCGTTCATTTTGATGTTTTTTTTTTCGGGTGAATTACCAGGAGCTTTTCTTTCTGTGGAATTTTCGGGAGAGGGGAAGGCTGATGCGTTTGTGAGCTAGGCGGGTGTTGCTGGTACATGCTACCACCCGGACAACTTTGTAACATTGTTGCTTCTCAAAGAGAATAAATTATGGGGGAAGGAGGGGGAGGAGGAGAGGGTGGGGGGATGTTGACTTTGGTAATGGATGAATGCGCCAGCACGTCCAAAAGCCACGCAGTCTTAGTTAATATGCCTTAGTGAAACCACTTTCCTGAGGTGCTTGTTGCAGTGAGTTTGCACTGATTAATAACCAGACTATGTAGCAACTGCGTGATAATGCTGCTCATTACAGGTCGGATCATCATTTCTAATTGCTGTATTCTCGTTGCTTTCATTTATCATCCTAAAAGATGATTCATTCTTTTATCGTACAAATATCCATGGGTCGTTGGCAGTTTGTGCGGCAATAAATGTTGCTGTCAAACAGGTGATTTCACTGAGCGTCGATCGTTCAGAAAGTTCCGGCATTTATCTTCAATTCTTTTACCGGACTGTAAATCTTTTCCCATTCAGGACGTTTTAATTGTGCACTGGAAATCTATGCTTGGTGAGGTTTTATGAAATGATTTGGATTACTCCCAGAGAAATTTTGTATAAATTTACTGCTTCTAGTATCTGCCGGACTCGATATTGCTGACTACGCCAGCCGGACGTTTGAAAAATACGCATCTTCCTGCTTGCACTGTTCTCGGCGCCTCAGTTCTCATTGCACTGGGCCTTCTTCGTTGGGTCGCATTGCTTCAAATTCTATTTGGGATACAGATTGGTTGGATTTATTTAAGATTTTTGCAAGCGCACGATGATGGCGAGCCAAGAGGTGATTCCAGCGAACATTTCGCATGGGCAACGTATGTTTCGAGATTTCATTTTCATTAATTGAAGCTCTGCACGATCTCGTAAAATTGGTGTATCACAATGATTTGCGGTGCTTTTTTCATGCCCCAAACCATGTTTTGAAATCGCTACCGGAATAACCAGTATCTGCACGATTTATTGTTTTAATTGGATAGTAAATTGATGACATCCAGAGGCTGAAAACCCCTGTAAACTTACTTCTGAAGCTTTGATCAGGGAATAATATTAAAAGATCTCCAGCTGATGATTTCACTTGATAAGATAGTATTGCCTGAATTGAAGGTTGAAATTCAACTTATTTGTTGATAATCGTTTGTTAAGGGAAATACTCCTAGTTGTGCAGTGGATGGTTTGCACATTGCTTGCGGAGGGCGCTCACATTCACAATTAAATCCCAGCTGTAGCAGATTTTTTCATAACTAGGGTCTTGGAAGGGGGAGATGATTATAATAGTTAGTTGTTGGGGAATTGCTTTCGAAGTGGAGTTGCAATTTGTCACTGGTATTGGAATCACCTTTGGAGGTCATAGAAAATCTCCTTTCTTTGAAAACAAACTTTTTTTTTTTTATTTTTTACACCTCTTTCCCGCTAATTCCACTCCCCCTCCCACTCGTCGTCTGCTCCAGCTTTGCGAATTGCTTCGGCTGTGGATTATCGAAGTAAATCAGTAAGAGAACTGTGCGAGTGCGAAACTGGAAGCGTGTCCTGCGCTTTCTGAAGTTTGGAAGTATACTTCAGCAAAAAAGAAATAGTCGGGATAAGTGGAGCTTTCAGGCTCTCTTTCCTTACTCGTTAAGATCAGTTTTTATGCGTTTTTTGCAGCAATGCAATGCGAAAACGCATATTGACGAGAGGTTGTCTGTGTGT